TGTTGAAGAGATGGACCAGAGGGGGCATAGAAAAGGGGAGGGCGAGGGGCTCCCCGGCTCCGTCGTTTCGGAAGCTCCGCCAAGACAGGTGAGCAGCCTGAGTGGGTCATAGGAACACCTCGGGGCCCCTCCCCAGGACGAGACGGAGCAGGCCTTCTTTCCCAAACCACCCGGTCCTGTGCTGGGCACTCTGCACAAGCCCTCTCTTGTCCTCCCAGGACAGTGGGGTTCCCAGCAGCACGTTACAGATGAGGAGGCTGAGGCCCAGGGACGTGTCGCTGCAGGACACACAGCCGGGGACTAGTGAGGCCAGATCCGAACCTCGCTTTGTTGTCCCCTCCCTGATTCTAGTTCACGTGCCTCCTTCTTGGGGTCAGCACCATGTGGAATTCTCTGATTCCTAAAGTGGGGGCTGAGACCGTGCCTGGCACTTCGGGGGACCCAGCGTCAGGACATCCCCACATGAGCTGCCCTCACTAACCAACAGGAAGGAAGGCCGGCGCTTGGGGGCAGGAGGAGGCCTGCCCTGCCTTCCCTCTCCCGCCTGGGACCTCCAGCTCCTTCCAGAAACACGCTCAGCCCCCTGGTGTGCTCACATCTAACTGTGCCCTGAGAACCTGCAGCAGTACCATCTCCTGTCCGGCATGCCAGGGCCCGTGCTGGGCCTTCCGTCCTGAAGCTGCCCCCTGCGTGTTACCCTCCCTCCAGCCTCCCGCCTCCCAAGGGGACCCCCCCCCCCCGGAAGTCCCTGGGCCTCTGGCAGCCCCAGCGTAATGGGATTTGGGGAAGACACCAGGCCGGGGGTCTCCAACAGGGAAGCGCCTCCATCCAGTTGGCAGATAAACATCTCCCACCAGTGAAGCGGGTCAGCTTTGCAGAGAGGGGGTCAGGGAAAGCTTCACGGAGGGGGCTCTATACGCTGAGGTCTTGGGGAGGAGCAGAAATTGGCCCGGCAATGGCAGGAGCAGGGGAGGGTGTGTTGGTGTCCGAGGATCAGGAACAGCACGGAGCAAAGGCCCAGAGGGAGCAGCACAAGGGAGGTCAGGGCCTTCAGGAACCAGGGCTGGGCTGCAGCTGAGAGTTCCAGGGGGACCGAGGCAAGAGCTGAGCTGTGGGCTCCAGCCACTCACACCCCCTCCCTGGGCCTGGACAGCTCCCCATGAGAAAGAGGCTGGCGCAGCCTGGGGTCACAACAGGAGGGCCCCACCGTAGGATCAGTGTGTCCACCGTAGCTTGGGGCGTGGGGCTGAGGATGCACAAGTGAAGGCGGAGGGGGCCCAGCATCACAGCGATTGACAAGGAGTCCCTTTTGGGAGCCTGGACGTGGCAGAGCTCCAAGAATGATGCCCCGGGTCCCCCGCTGGCGAATGGGGGTCTGTATCCGTCCAGCCGGAGCCACCTCCCTGCTCCCTCCCCTGGCCCCCCAGGGAAGGATCCTGCTGTCAGTCACGGAGCCGGCAGGTCCTGACTCCCATCATGCTGAAGTCTGCGGTATCTGCACAACAAGTGACCCCGCAGAAGACGGGCGATTTACCGGGTTTAATTTGATGGCCACACAAACTGTCAAACACACAACAAAGGAATAAAAAGGCCACCTGGCACCCGGGCAATTAAAGGCTCCTCCAGGCAGGCATGCTTTCTTCCTCCCCACCCCCAGGCCCTGCCCTGCGCCACAGCCTTGGGGAAGGGGCGGCAAGGGGAAGCTCGAGCAAAGATGGATGAGGCCTGCAGACAGGGGAAGGGAAAGGCCTTGGGTCCCGGCCTCCCAACTGCTTCTTGGTTATCCATCAGGCATCTCTGAAAGGGGCAATTTAGACACTGTTATGATGCCAGGGCCTCTGGAGGCTGAGGGCTGTGGCCATGAGCTGAGCCGGCACCGGGGACTGATGTCTGTGCCAGAGAACGTGGTGGCTGGCCTTGGCTTTGGCCTTCACAAGGCTGCCCCCCTGCTCAGGGCACCGCCCAAACGGCCAAGCTGAAGGGGCCACCTGCATCCCACGTGCCAGGTCTCAGCTGCTGACAGGTCAAGGAAGGTGTGTGTCCTCTGGCCAGATGCTGGCGCCCCGGATAGAGGGACTCAGACTTGACCTCTGAGACTGAGGCAAGGTGGCCTTTGAGCAGGCCTGGGCCTTCCTGTCCCCCACACCTGCCCTAGTCCTGCCTCTTTTCTCCTAAGCATCTTGAGACTGGACATGCAGGCTCCATAACCCTCGTGTGTGTGACAGGCTGGCACAGGTACAAACGTGCGTCTGCATAGGGGGTGGGGCGAGACCCGGCTGGCCGGTCCCCCTTGTGCCTGGGTTTATCCCTGTCCTCTGAAGGCGGGCATGTCCCGGTCTATGTAGCAGCCCCGTGTTGAGCCCGTCCTCTTGCAGAGTTCGGGCCATGGCCCTCCTCAGTCCTGGCTGTGATGAGAGGTGAGAGAATCAGTGGTCAGGTAAGGGCCAGGCAGCCTGGGATGCCCACGCCCCAGCCAGATTTTACAGGGTGACTCTCGCTGACACTGAGGGAAGGAGGGCTGACCAGCCTGGTGCAGGGCTCTGCAGTGGGGGTAGGAGGGCGGGAGTGTGTCAGGGCATGTGGGTAGGGGAAACAAAGCTGACGGCTAACTCCGCCGAGAGCAAGCTCAAGTGCAGGACACAAAGACCCACTCCGGGTCCCGCAGGGACGGGGTGTGAGTGGGCTCAGGACCCAGAGGCGGGGCTGGGAGACGAGCTCAAGGAAGCAGCCAGGAATAAGCAGGCAGTGGCCTTAGTCCCTCAGGCCAGCGGGTGCTCACAGAAGGGGGCCTAAGCTGGCTTCAGAAGCCCAGAATGTTGGCCAGGGTCTCAGCAGCCAGGGTCTCACCCCCTTTCTCCTGGCTTTCCACGAGGCCTTGTCCCCTCTGGCTCCGTGCACAGGCCCCATGCACCCTTCCCCTTTGCCCTCACTTGCTTCTAGCCAGCTTTCCTCCGCCAGCCCCTGAGCTGCCTTGGGTCCACCTCATGGATAAAAGTTCATGCCTCTTACAGGCCCCGAGCGAGGCTAGGGCGTTAACCATGGGCAAAGCCTGAGCTTGCTCCAGGAGGCCCTGGGGCTGCCGAGGCTGTCTGTCCAGAGGCCCCAGTAAATGCAAATAGGGTATGAGTGTGTAGAGGGGAGTGACTGTAGGCATTCCTGCCTTGCGCAGCACCTTGGGTGGTCGCTGATGCTAAGCCACACCAGGCCTCCACAGCCCACGGTCCCTGCCCTTGAGTACCTAAAATTTAGTCGGGGACATTAAAACACTAACCACCCAACAGTGCAACCCACAGCTCACAAAGATGGGCACGAGATGGGGCACCACGAGCCTAGTGGCCAAGATTCTGGCCTCCCCACCACTCCTCAAGTGTCTTGAGTGCATTAATGCCTCGGAGCCTCAGTTTTCTCTTCTGTTAAGTGGGAAGAAGGAGGGCATTGACATCAGGTTTGCTGGAAGGGTTAAATGACCTAAATGCTCATGAAGCTCTAGGAGCATCATAGTGTGAGCTACTATCCCACCAGAATGGGATCCCAAGTGGCTAGAACATGGGCTGGGACGTGGGGGGTGCTCCACAAAGATCTGCTGAGCGGCTAGATGGACAGATGCATGGATGGGTGGATGGGTAGGTGGAAGACTAGCAGAGGAGGGGACATGTGAAGAGCAGTTTGCTAGATGGAGGGGAGCGGTTCCAGGATAGAGGGGGACAGACAAGGGAGAAGGTGTGACATTGGTTGAGAAATAGAGAATGTCAGTCCCCAGGGCCTGAGAGTGAGGTCCCCACTGGGACTCGTTCGGTGACCAGATCCCGATTCTGCTCTGCACACCGGGCTGGGCTGGCTTCAGGCTGGGGCCTCAGCTCAGACTCAGGGAGGCAAGGATTGTGTCCCACCGTTGAAAAGCCTTCGTGAACCTAGAGTTACATGGCAGACCTTTGCCGGCGGCATGAAGACACCTCCCCAACTGAGGTTGAAAGATCATTACTCTTTAATTGATTTTTTACCACTATGAACAGCAAAATAATAGGAAAAAAATCTACTGCAATTTTTCCATTTGTGAAAACCGAAATTACACCTTGCAGCTGATTCCCTCAGTGTGGACCCCTCCCTCCTTTTATTCATGTAATTTCTTCAAATGCTAGAAAACAGATAAATATTTTTTTTTCAAAATAGCTGAAAGTTTCGTGATTTGGGAAGGGGGTAAGGTGTAGAATAATCTCCCACACGACATGGAATGCGGAGCTAGGGAGGGCACCTCGGACATAAAGGGTTTTCTGTAAATACACAAGAAAGCGATCCCGTTGACACTTCATTCTTCTGTCTATAAAATGCATGAGTGGCAAATGGGATGTGTTTTAACACCAGACAATGAAGCTCCTTGCCCTCCATTGCTCACCAGTGGCAACCCGGCGGCTTCTTTTCTGCGGGTTCTACTGACATCCCCCCCCCAACCCCTTGTAAGCTCACAGCCCTCACAGAAACAAGCTTCTCCTTCAAACCCTGGGTATGAGCCAGATAGGGATGCGAGTTTCCGTTCCCGTGAGAAATGGTGGCTCTGAATCCATAAAACACACCTTAAATCCATCCCATCAGCACTGACCAGCCACTTTTAGCATTAGCCATAAAGACTGGCTTAGGGTGAAGTCTCGAAAGAAGAAACAAACCGCGGCGTGGCTCTCGCTAAATGAACCTCACCCGCGGCTCGAAATCACCGTCCGGGACGGCGGACTGCGGCCGCCTAATTCACAGACATCTTTGCTCCTGATGAGATTTCACGTTAGCCAGATGTCGTTAGAGTCTGACCTCGGCCCGAGGGATCACCCGCGAAGTCAGGCTGGCCCAGGAAGGGCCGCAGGGCGTGCGCCTGGAGGCTTGACCTCTGCCCTGCCACGACCCCGTGGCAACCCTGCGGCGGCAGGCGGGTGGGCGCCAGGACTCGCTCTCACCGCACGTGTCTTATGCTCCTTGCAGGTGTTGAGGCTCCAAATCAGGCGGGGCCCGGCGCCCCCAGCCATCCACCATGGTGGTGGCACACCCCACTGCCGCCGCCGCCACCACACCTGCTGCCACCGTCACGGCCACCGTCGTGATGACCACGGCCACCATGGACCTGCGGGACTGGCTTTTCCTCTGCTACGGGCTCATTGCCTTCCTGACGGAGGTCATCGACAGCACCACCTGTCCCTCGGTATGCCGCTGTGACAACAGCTTCATCTACTGCAATGACCGGGGACTCACCTCCATCCCCGCTGACATCCCTGATGACGCCACCACCCTCTACCTGCAGAACAACCGGATCAACAACGCCGGCATCCCCCAGGACCTCAAGACCAAGGTCAACGTGCAGGTCATCTACCTGTACGAGAACGACCTGGACGAGTTCCCGGTCAACCTGCCCCGCTCCCTGCGGGAGCTCCACCTGCAGGACAACAACGTGCGCACCATCGCCAGGGACTCGCTGGCCCGCATCCCGCTGCTGGAGAAGCTGCACCTGGATGACAACTCCGTGTCCACCGTCAGCATCGAGGAGGACGCCTTTGCCGACAGCAAGCAGCTCAAGCTGCTCTTCCTGAGCCGGAACCACCTGAGCAGCATCCCCTCGGGGCTGCCCCGCACGCTGGAGGAGCTGCGGCTGGATGACAACCGCATCTCCACCATCCCGCTGCACGCCTTCAAGGGCCTCAACAGCCTCCGGCGCCTCGTGCTCGACGGCAACCTGCTAGCCAACCAGCGCATCGCTGATGACACGTTCAGCCGCCTGCAGAACCTCACCGAGCTCTCGCTGGTGCGCAACTCCCTGGCTGCCCCGCCCCTCAACCTGCCCAGCGCCCACCTGCAGAAGCTGTACCTGCAGGACAATGCCATCAGCCACATCCCCTACAACACGCTGGCCAAGATGCGCGAACTGGAGCGCCTGGACCTGTCCAACAACAACCTCACCACGCTGCCCCGCGGTCTGTTCGACGACCTGGAGAACCTGGCCCAGCTCCTGCTGCGCAACAACCCCTGGTTCTGCGGCTGTAACCTTATGTGGCTGCGCGACTGGGTGAAGGCGCGGGCGGCCGTGGTCAACGTGCGGGGCCTCATGTGCCAGGGTCCCGAGAAGGTCCGGGGCATGGCCATCAAGGACATCACCAGCGAGATGGACGAGTGCTTTGAGACGGGCTCACAGGGAGGTGCGTCTGACGCTGCTGCCAAGACCACGGCCAGCAACCATGCCTCTGCCACCACACCCCAGGGCTCACTCTTCACCCTCAAGGCCAAGAGGCCGGGGCTGCGCCTCCCTGACTCCAGCCTCGACTACCCCATGGCCACGGGCGATGGCGCCAAGACCCTGGTCATCCACGTGAAGCCCCTGACGGCGGACTCGATCCGCATCACATGGAAGGCCACGCTCCCCGCCTCCTCTTTCCGGCTCAGCTGGCTACGCCTGGGCCACAGCCCAGCCGTGGGCTCCATCACAGAGACACTGGTGCAGGGGGACAAGACGGAGTACCTGCTGACGGCTTTGGAGCCCAAGTCCACCTATATCATCTGCATGGTCACCATGGAGACTGGCAACACTTACGTGGCCGACGAGACGCCCGTGTGCGCCAAGGCCGAGACAGCAGACAGCTACGGCCCCACCACCACACTTAACCAGGAGCAGAACGCAGACCCCATGGGGGGCCTGCCCCTGGCGGGCATCATCGGTGGTGCCGTGGCCCTCGTCTTCCTCTTCCTGGTCCTGGGGGCCATCTGCTGGTACGTGCACCGGGCCGGTGAGCTGCTGACCCGGGACCGGGCCTACAATCGGGGCAATCGGAAAAAGGACGACTACATGGAGTCCGGGACCAAGAAGGATAACTCCATCCTGGAAATCCGAGGCCCTGGGCTGCAGATGTTGCCCATCAACCCTTACCACGCCAAAGAGGAGTACGTGGTCCACACCATCTTCCCCTCCAATGGCAGCAGCCTCTGTAAGGGCACGCACACCATCGGTTACGGCACCACACGGGGCTACCGGGATGGTGGCATCCCCGACATAGACTACACCTACACATGATACCAGCCACACGGGCCGCCTCCGCCCCAGCTCCTGCCGCCCCCCCCCCCGGCCTGGCGACAACGTGGCTCTGCCCAGCCTGCTGCCATCCCATAGAGCAAGGAGAAGGAATTCCACGAGGACTTTCCCAGCAGAAAGCAAAGTTTGGGAACGGTTGACGATTTTATAGAACACAACAGTGGAAAAAAAAGATTTTTTTTTTTTAAAGAATAGAAAATAGGAGGGGGATTTGACGTTGCTGAAGACATAATTTATACCAAATTATGCCAGTTGGGAAAGGAAGGACTAAAAATAATATTGCAGGAAGGGTTGGGTCAGGGTTGTTTTTTTTTTTTTTTTTTTCCTGAACTGGAAAGATACTACCTGTCTGTGTGCGCCTCACGCTCTGTTCAAGGCCGTCACAAAAGAACCGTCAGAGAGAACAGCCAACATGCGAAGCCCCAACGCAGCTCTTGCTGCCTGCCGGCTCCTCGCTAGTGACAACGACATGATGGAAGGTTTTCAGGCTCTTCACAAAGGAGAAGGGGAAGAAAAGATCTTTTTGCTATGGAGAAACTGTCCTGAAACCTCTTGCCTGGTTCTTTCCATAACATTTCCCTTACAGATTTGCAGAAAGAGCACGTCTTTCACTGCATTCTTTGAACAATGGTGTAGTCAATTAAAAAGCAAACTTTCTTTTTCCTATACCGAAACCCTCTCCAGTTCCGTGCACCACGCTCCATGGAAGCCCCCTGGGGGAGCTGTGGTTTCCCAGCCAAGCGGAGGTGCATCTATCTACCTGTCAATCTCTGTGTCGTGTCTCTCAATACAGATGGGTAGATAGAGCCTCATATCCGGTCCTTACTACTTCTTGGGTCAGTTCGTACAATTTCCTGAGACAATAGAGTCACGAAAATGTTGCTTTCTCCTAGAAATCATTGAGTAAGTAGACAAAGCGTGTTGGGGGTGGGAGTCGGGAGGGGGAACAATGCTGTTCCTAAAGGCGGAGGTGTATCTGTCCCAGTCGGGTGGCCAGGGAGACCCCCGGGCAAGGGGCACCCTCAGTTCAACCCTATCTCAGGTTGGCCAGAGCTGGTCTGCACTCTTTTCTGATACAGAGAAAAGCGTTCTTTGATGGCCGGTGTGCTCGTCTCTCCCCCCGGCCGTCCCCCCCGAGATGCAGATGCAGTCACCTCAACAGCGACTTTCTCTTTCCTCTGTGCTGTGTGCTTCCTCCTGGGACAGGTAATTGGTGCAGGGACTTTTTTTTTTTTTTTTTTATGAGCTGATTAGACCTAATGGTTTCCATGGCTGCTCAAACAAAGCCTAGAAAAAGACGTGAACATTCTCAGAAGAGCCTTGGGAGACAGCAGCCCCCCGAACGCAGAGCACTCGGCTGCACCCACCCCTGGCACTCTGCTCTGGAGAGGGAAGACCAGACCTCCAGAAATGCCAGCTCCAAAAGGGTACTGACCGGGGCCCTTGGAAGAATTCAGTTTTTATTTCCTCCCCCCCGCCCCCGGAACCTGGGTTGCCATCATTTATCAACTGGCAGTGCGGTCTGGTGAGCCATGAGATTAAAACGGTAATGAAAGGATGACAGCCAAGCTGGAGTGAAGGAGGAGTGGCGTCCGGGGTTCTGCGGTCTCCCGTGCCCTGGCCCTCAGGAAGCTCGGGCCACCACCTGTTAACATGCCCCTGGTGCTGTGCTGGGGAAGAGCCATGTCGGAGGAGAGACACTGGCCCGAGGGCAGGGAAGACTGGGGAGGTGTCTGGCTCCAGGTGCTGGCGGTTTCAAAAGGCCTCAACTGCACTGACAAAAGCCAAGGGCAGGAAGAAGATGCTGACCGGCAGTCACGGGGCTGCCGGGACTGGCCACTCACTGGTCGTGAAAAGATGTGACTGGCCCCCTCAGTGAAGAGGCAGGGGTTGAAAGGAATGGTCACAAGAGCCGTGTGAGTTGGGTGGAGGAGAGGTACGGCCCCCTCCCTTGCCAGGCTGGAGGGAGGGTCTCGCTCTCGCCCCACGATGGGGAGTCCGGCTCCCCAGGCCCAGGGAGAGGCGCAGGGCATGGACACACTCCACTCGAAACTAAGCCTCCCCACCCTTTGGCCCATTTGAATCATTTTCTCACACAATGAGATCAAGAGAGAGATTTTTCCAAGCCTTAATTTCATGTCTCTGTGAAGGTCGCCCTCCCTTTGGCCTCAAGTGCCCCTGACACAGGCTGTTCGGGCAGCTCGGGGAGGAGCAGAGGGTGCACGCAGATGTAGGGCATTGGCTCAGGAAGAGGGGGAAGGGACAGAAGCCCGAGGTCCCTGCTGTTTCAGAAGTGAGGTCCCCTCCCTCATGGCACCACTCATGCCTTCTGCCGGTGTCCCAGGCCCTGGCCTTGCCACGGCCCCCCAGTCCCCACTGCCAACATGCTTGGGCCCCCAATCTTACTCTGGGGCCTCCTTTCCCCTCAACCACACCAGGAGGAGGTCAAATCATGCCCTTTGAGGTTAGGAAGGCATTTGGAGAACAGCAAGTGGCCCTAGAGTCAGTGAGGTCAGAAAGGCCTGCAGGCCTGAGTGATCAGCTTCCCTCCCCTCCAGCACAAAGCAGGCCCGGGCACACCTGGGCCTGAGGACACGTGGGTCTCCTGCTCCCCGGGGGCTCAGGCAGGGGCTCACCGCGGGCTCGCTGCAGGCGTCCTCCTGCCCTGTAAGTGCTGAGGATAGTGGAGACTCGCCAGCCGGGCCCTGGGGCCTGCTCTCACCTTCCCTCCCCTCAGCTCCCCAAGCCAAGGAGGGGGCCTGAAGCCAGGCCTACTCTGAACCCCTGTCCCTTCCTGGTCCAACTCCTCTGAGTGTCCTCATAACACAAGGAGAGAGATGCTGCAGGGCTGCCCAGCCTCCCCCAGCCCCTAGCAGTGCCTGAGGACACAGGGCCCGGGAAGACAAGCCCAGGGCCCAGGCTACCACTTCTGTCTAGAATCTCCCTTCTGTGGGCGGCCGACCTGACCCTTGCAGCCTCTAACTAGCCAGAACAACCTCATTGGCCTCAGCGTTGATGAGTGTATTCTGTGGCATTTATAGCAGGTTTCAAGTTTTTTTATAAAAAGAGCCCATGACACTTCTTTGGTTAAGTGGTTTACCCTTCGTGGTAATTAGATGTAGTGATTAGAATCTCTTTTCTATTACATGGCAATTTTCCTTTAAATTTTCCCTAAAAAAAAAAAATAAATAAATAAAATAAAAAAAGGGGGGGGGAAGGCGAGGCAAGAGAGGAGGCAGCAGGGCCAGGCGAGTCATTTGCATTTTGCGAATGAGGCCTCTTGTAAGCTCAGCTCAGGCGTGGGGCCCAACGTATGGAATGCTTAAGAGATTACTAAGAATAAAATCTATTAATTAGTCATACTCAATTCTGCAGACATGATGTGCATCAAAAGCTTCTTTTCTTCCCTTTTCTCCTTCCCCTTTCCTGTGGCCTCCCCGAGGAAGCCTCCATCTTCTCTAAATTGCCTCCAGCTTCCTGGGCCACCTCCACAGGAACATGGCAGCCGTGTGGCTGACTGGAGGGCCTCCCCACCCAGGGCCGGGATGCCAGGTTTGGGGGCAGGAGGTGGGGCACTGGTCCCTTCTGGCTCTGAGTGACACTGGCGGGCGGGGGGGACAGCAGCTAGGAAGATGGTGGTGGCTGGGGGAGGGGGGCAGGCTTCCCCACCCAGAGCCCAAGACCCGTGCCTGCCTTGTGCCTCTTCTCCCTCCCTCCTCCTCCTTCCCCTAGGGGTCCAGGGAGGCCAACCAGGAGCAGAAAGTGAGGAGGGGTCAGAGAGGGTTTGCAGAGAGGTGGAGGGAAAGCGTGTTTTGTAAATCCACAGCCTTTGTTTCCCCTTCTGCAAAGTGGAGGGTGGGCTGCGACAGGAGTAGGGCTTCACCCAGAAAAGCTGGGTGCTCCAAAGGCCAAGTAAGGGCTCCTCCCTTCCACCAATTCTGGAAGGTTCTAGTTGATCCACAGCAGGTGACAGAGGCCCAGAGTGGGAGGGACAGGCCAGGTGAAGATCCCTGCAGGATCTGAGGTGACTGATGGGCCTGGAGAAGTGCCAGGCAGCACGCCCAGGACACCTGAGCCTCCCTCCTTCATCTGCTTGGAGCCCAGGCAGGAGAGGAGGTCAACCCCCGCCCCCACCCCACCAACGACAGTCCAAGTCCCAAAGCCAACCCGCTCCACTCCGGAAATCTGCTTCCTGCCGAACACACCAGGGAGGAGGACGGGGCTTCTGAGCCTCGCACTTATGAAAAATACAACAAGGAAAATTGGATGCGACAGACAGGGAGCAATGGAGCTAGGGAGGCAACCAGGAGAGAGCTGGGGCGTTTGCTGGAAAGAGGGGTCTTAGGGTGCGCAGTAGCCTGCGCACCCCAAGGACTGGACCTGCTCTCAGGGCCAGGAACACAGCCAGGGGCAGCTGTGGGCATGCTGTGCGCCCCTGTCCCCTCCCTGCGCTCGGATCAGTGCAGGTGATGGGCGGAGGCCTGGCGCTGCATTGGCGCCAGGGTGAGTGCTAACAAGCAATTCACAGCCCTGCACAGGCCTTCCAGAAGGCAGACAGAGGAGGCATCTTTTTTCTTAAGGAGGGATAAAAAGTCTCAAAAATGCAAATCATTACCATTTACAACCAAGCGAGTCTGCTAAATTGATTAGAAGCGATTAAACTCCTTGGAGGTGAAGGGAAAGGGGGATTTTTCGCATTTTATGAACCTGCCCCCAGTGGCAATGGGCAAAGCAGGGATTTTCCAGCCTGGCTCACAGGCTGCCCCTGCACAGCCCCAGGAGGAGCTGGGGGTCTGCGAGGGCTGACACCACACTGGCCAGAGCGCTCAGAAACAGGCTGGGCTGGACAGAGCCTGGGCTCAAGCACTGCTCAGGGAAAGCAGTTCTGTCTCGGTCGCCTGCCTTCTGCTCGGGCCTCTGGGACAGGGTGGGCTGCATGGCCCACACAGGTCATTCAGAAGCCGTCCTAGCCCCCAGCAGAG